CACTCTGCACCATGCAAGTGGATGCCACATGCCTCCTTCCCGGGGGAAGAGGGACCTTTCAGACTGTTTTTAGCTCCTGGAGGGCAGGRAGAGGGGGTGCCTCTTCCAAGCTGCTACAGATTATATATCTGAGCTGGCAGCTCATCCTCCCACCCACCCACAAACGCAGAGCCCAGCGCTGCTGCCGAAAGGGGCGAGTGGCAGGACCTGCCTGTGCCTCCAGACCCCRAGGGCTGGGATGGGAATGTTCCTCCTGGCACAGGATGGTTGGTCCTGCCACCAGTGTCCACTGGCCATGGGGAGGGCTGCTCCATGAGTTCTGAACTCAGCCTGGTTCCAGTGGCAGAACCCGGCACATTTAGTAAATAAGTTGTGTTTGCTTGAAGACATAATTAGGGCAGCGTGACTCTGCAGGGATGTGCAGAGTGTGGGGACCTGCAGCCAGCAGAGAAAATTGTCTGTAACATTTTCCACCTCTCAAACCAACAGCTCGTCCCCTCTGGTGGACAGAGGCAACCACCTCCCTGCTCCCAGCCCCCAGGGGCACACAAGGGACAGACCCTCTGGGAGCTGGCTGGTTCAGCCTTTCTTTCCCTTTTTTCCCTTTCCTTTTCAGGTACATACAGATCAGTCGGAGGATAGAAGCCAGACACTGAGACCCCATCTAAACTTCATAAGAAGAGGGGTAAAGGGAGCTATTTATTAAGCTGACAGAGGGTTGAATGCTGTGTTTTGCCATTGCAGCCTTRTGCAGTCTGGCTGTTGAGTACTGTGAAGGCTTCAACTGATTCTGAAGTAGCTGGAGCAGAGTGGTGCCTGTCCAGAAATAGAGAAGTATTTTTAAATTAAATTTATTCACTGATTTTCATGAAGACAGATTGTTGTGTGTTTGTTGAAGTGTCATTAGGAGTAGTTGGCGGTGGAACCAGGCTGAGCAACAGCAAGAGAGGATGGATGTGTCCTCCCTGTGACTGGGGAGGTCACCGGGGCCACCTCCTTCTGCCTCTGCTCCTCCTCCTCCTCTTCCTCCTCCTGCTGCCTGGTCCCTGCACCTGGGCGGGATGGAATGGGGGTGACTAAAGCTGACACCAGGCTGGTGAGACTGTGGGGCAGACACAGAACAGGCTCTGACACCTCTGAGCTGCACAGCCTCACAGGGAGGGAAGGGCAGTGGGCAGCCCCTGCTCCCCTTTGGAGGCTGGAGCTGCCCATGGCTCTGGCCCCCAGCAGACAGTGCCCAGTGCCACCACCAACCCTGGGCTATCTGGTTTATTTATTCCTTTTTCCCTGCAGTGCAGAGCAGAACCACGGAACACCAAGCACATCATCCTGCTTCTCTGGGATTTGCCTGATAAGYGCTGAACCTGCAGGAATGCAGTTTTAATTCTCTAACACAAYGAGAAMCYGGGATTTCCAARTAATATGAACTTAAASAGCWCCTCCCAGGCCTTTGGAAGCTGGTATCCATACAGGTTTGACCACAGAAGACATGGGGCTACAGTTACCTAATTAAACTGAGATGCAAATGATCCCAGTGTTTGCAAGGCTGCATCACCTTTAGTGCAGGTGCTTCTGGCCGTGAGTGAGTGCTGCTGCCAGGTTATAAATCCTGCTACTGTGAATGGCCCCTGTACCTGCTGGGGTTGGATGGGCAGTGCCCTGGACCTGCTGGGGTTGGATGGGCAGTGCCCCATGTCCTGCTGGGGTTGGATGGGCAGTGCCCCATGTCCTGCTGGGGTTGGATGGGCAGTGCCCCTGTACCTGCTGGGGTTGGATGGGCAGTGCCCTGGACCTGCTGGGGTTGGATGGGCAGTGCCCCGTTACCTGCTGGGGTGGGATGGGCAGTGCCCCTGCACCATGAGCAGGGCCCATGCTGTTCCTTGCCCTCTGCTTGTGTGTTCTCCTGGGCTCTGGTCCCCTGTGCTGCTGCTCTCAGGACGAGCCCAGGGACAGTTGCTCCATAGGTGAAACTCAGCCCCTGTGAGTTTTCCTCTTTGAAGTTTTTTTTCTGTTTTTTCCTTTGTGACTTCAGGATTTTTGTGCTTACTTAGGTTGCTGCAGARTAAGCTGGCTTTCATCATGGAGCCTGCCTGCTCTCCTGGAGCTGCTGGGAGTCCTCCCCTCCCACTGAYTTCAGCCTCCAGGAATGTGTGGCAGGCCCTGCCTTGTGCCTGCTGAAGGAAATTTTCTTAGCTTGGATTCCTAGAAAAATGGAGTCCTGTGAACTCGTGGTGTGTGTGACAGYGTGTTTGTGTAGCTCTGTGTCTGTGCATCCTCATGACTTGTGAATTCAGCTCAGTGGAGTGTTAAAGCATCCAGAATTTTAAACAACTTGTGACTTTGGCGTTTTTGTGAAAACAGGAGGCTGAGCACAAAGGAAACCCTGTCAGCTCCTTCATGRAGGGAGATGATGCAGCATGACATCATACCTTAGTTCAAACTAATTAGGTGCTCAGAACCCCAGGAGATGTTAGATGTCTGCTCCAAAGGAGATGTTTGCATCATAACAGACATCCTTAGGGAATCCAGTCCTGAGCTGAGTCCAGGCTGGCTTTAGCTGCTGTATGTGTGTGTGAGGCTGCTGGTTTCATTGCTGCAGTGTCCCACTCCCTTGGCCTGTGTAGGGTGTACTGATGGCAGACCTCAGCCCTCTTTGGAACAGGGGAGATCCTTGGGAACCCCACTGACTTTTGAAATTGTTCATTTAAAAAATGAAGTGATGTGAATTGTCAGATCAAAGATTACAGTTGCTCAGAGCTGGTGGCAGAGATAGATTAGAGACAGTGGAAGCAGAGCTTTCTCCATCTTGGCTCATGTGGACAAGTTTGTAAGGMCCAAGTATAAAACAGTCTCAGCTGAGACTGTCTCAATGCTGCTGATTAGGAAACTACAGAGCAGTCATTAGCAGAATACTTGTATTTTTTCAGGTTCACATCAGCTGCAGATGCCAGTATGTCCTGGCACAAGGAATGGTGAAATCTGCAGGCTGCCCGGCCAGAGGGAGCGGTGGCTGTGGTGTCTGTGAGTGCCCTCCCAGCCTTGCTCTTTCTGTCCAAACAGATGTTGGGAGCCATGGCTGATGTCCTGCAGCTCGCTCCAGGATGCTGTGCACTCAGGGATGTGAGCAGCAGGGCAGGGCTGTCCCATCCCGCTTGCTGCCGCTGTGTGCAGAGAGAGGAGGGTGACAGCGTTTGCTCTGAGGAAGCACAGCACAACAAAATATTTTCCAGCAGAACCTGCAGGTGGAAACATGCCTTCAAAGCCTCAAGTCCAGCTCACTGCGGCTCTTCTTTCGGCCCTGCTTTGCACAGAGCCAGCTTTGCTGCAGTGGATATAACACAGTGTGCTGTGCTCCTCAGGGCAAGAGCTGCCCCTTTGTTGTGCAGAGCCTCTGCCTTGGCTTCCCCGACCCTTCCCGTTCTGCTGTGAGCAGGAGAGGCCCCACGCTTGAAAGACAGATGTCATTAAAATGCAGTGGAACAGAGTCTGAAGTCAAATATAGTGCTGTGATGATCCAGGTCGTGAAACTTAATGATTTCACTGTTGAATGCAAAATTATTTTTGTTATATTTTTAGTCAAGCTCGTGCGAGCTGTGGGAAACAAACCCCCGCTGGCCCCTGAGCTGGGGGCTGCTCTGTGCTGCCAGGGCTGTGTGGGTGGTGGGGACTCCTCCACCCTGCACCCTCCACACCGTGTGTGCACCCCCAGAACTCTGCACCCCGCAGGGCTCCRGGGGTCACGGTGCTGCTGGGGATGGCCCAATGGAGCACTGCCTGCARAGACCCCAGCTGGGATATTCATCATGGAAACAGTGACTCGACTTGTTCAGAACAGCTGAGAAAGGCAAAATAGCAAAATCTTGGGCAGCCAGTGGAGCTTTCCCCAGCTGTGACTCTGCACAGGAGGCACAGCTGGTCACATCTGGACAGAGCCACAGCTGTTCACACCTGGACAGAGCCATGAGCTGGTCACACCTGGACAGAGCCATGGGCTGGGTACACCTGGACAGAGCCACAGCTGCTCACATCTGGACAGAGCCACGGCTGCTCACACCTGGACAGGAGGCACAGCTGCTCACATCTGGACAGAGCCATGGGCTGCTCACACCCGGCTGGTGGCCCTGCAGAGGATGGGCACTTCCAGCAGCACAACACAGGGCCGGGAGGATTGGAGCTGTGAGTAACTGTACAGCCACAGGATTGGAGCTGTGAGTAACTGTACAGCCACAGGATTGGAGCTGTGAGTAACTGTACAGCCACGAGTGGCTTTGTTTGGCTCACTGGGGTGCTCATGCTATGTTCTCTCATTGCTGCTTTGAACTTCCTTTCCTSTCTGACTGTTCCCTTAATCAAAAGAGAATGACCTGCAGTTCAGGTATCTCACCCAGTGTGATTTGTGGCTGCTGGGGACCCTTTGAAAAGCAGCAGTTCTGAGGCTCAATTCACCAAGGYTCACAGGGGAAGGGGTGGATCAGGCTTCTCAAGTGAATGCAGCAAGAGTAGAGTGTGATTCATGCAAATCAGTTTTCTTACAAAGTGAGATTCTCCTGTGTGAGATAGGATGGGAGCCTGGTATGAGCTCTACAGTAGTGCTGTGGAGATGCCAAGGGCGTCTCCCAGGCTGTGTTTACCCAGGCGTGCTCAGGCCTGTTCTCTTGGTACAAAACACATTTTTTACATGTGCTYATGATGAGGCTGCAGCAGCCCAAGGGACCCTCACCAGTGGCATCTGTTGAGACAGGAGCTGCTTGTGGCACTGTTTGGTTGGTGGAAGGTCTGTGTGGTGGATTATTCACAGGCAGCTTCTAAACTGTCATCCTAGGATTTCATCAAYAAACTTTTAAAAGACATAACGAAAAGTACGAAGCTTTAAAAGTGCTGGGTTTGAACTGGAAAGTTAAATTAACTCTCTTAACTCTGCCTGCACCCTGCTAAGGCAAAATCCCACTTGATGTGTAATGGTGGATATCTGCTAAAGTCTTGGAACTCAAAAAGAGAAAGGGATTTTAACTTGTGTTGGGCCTACTTGATTTGAGTAGGTGTTGGCAGATGTGTAAAACCCAGACAGCAGTTACCCTGCAGATCTGTTTTGTACCACACATACCCTTTGTTTTACCCTAGAAAGGATAGAGGAGTGCAAGATGCCCAGCCTGGGATGGGCACAGGAACCAAACCACACTGTGACAGAGACCATYGAGGCAGCAGCTCTGGGGATGGGCTGTCAGGGCAGGAGCCTGGGGCATGGATTGCTGCCTGAGGATGGAGGTTTGGGGCTGCTGGGAACTGAAATCCCTTGGCTGGGGATGCACGATGTGACGACTCTCCCCTGAAAACGAAAGACAAACCCAGAATGGTCCAAACGGCCCTAAAAGGCATCAAGAATTACAAATAGGGATTGAGCACTAAAGAGAGAAAATCTTAATCASATCTCACAACCTGTAGAGGAACAAATGAATTTAAAATGAAACTGAGTTTTGTGCTCTCAGGGTTTCCGTATGAGAACGGAAGATGAAATATTCACATTTGCAATTTGTAAGGCTGGATTGCATTTTCTATGAATTCATCTTTTTAACTTTTTACCTTGTCAGAAAATGATGAAAAGCTATTGGGATGATCTATTTGGGGTAGTTCTTATCACAGCACGTGGCAGAAACATTTCCATGGTTTCAGAAACATGGGCAGAGTTTCCTATTTAATCCTCCCCTTCCAGATTAACTCCTTTCTTCCTGTGGTGWCCAGCCTGGCTCCCACTGACCMACCTGCCTTTGGCTTCACTACCACYRACATTTTCTCTTTGWGAATTTCTATCAATATTTAATGCAGTGGTGTCAGTTTTGCTGTAAGATGAGAGGAACCACTAGAAACCYTGAATTATGCATCGTGCGGTGGGGGAAGCTGGAAGTGTTTTCTTTTGGACCCAAAGCTGTTGGAGCTGATCTCCAGGACCTGCAGCTTGAAAYCCAAATGATGGATGATGAGCCCCAGAAGAAACTCAGCCAGTGGCACGACGGCCGGCCCCGCAAGGTGAGGTTCAAAATATCCTCATCTTACAGTGGGCGAGTGTTAAAACAAGTGTATGAAGATGGGCAGGAGCTGGAGCCCCCGGCCAAGGAGCACTCGCGGCGCTCSGTGCGCCACAGCTTCGAGCCCGAGGATCCTCTGTGCGGGCCCGGGGAGCTGGCTGCCAGCAGCTTCTGCTGGCCCACGCTGCTGACTGCCCAGAGGATCAGCATCGTGCGAGAGGATCACACCCACGGGCTYGCAGGGAGCCTGCCCCTGCTCAGCGACTGCCAGCCTGGCAGCAGCCACTGCAGGGTAAGTGATGCCAGGSTGCCCCTCCGCGGGTCCAGCTTGAGAATAAACCTGCTCAGAGTCATGGAGGGACAGGGACACTGCAGCCTCAAACAGACAGAGCTGCTTTGTCAGGCCAGCACTTGAACAGGGGGGTTGTAAATCTGCAGCCTGTAATGCAGGAATTCTGTGTGCTGAATTTGCCACACGAGGCAGGATCCTCGGGGTCTGCAGCAGTGCGGGCAGGAGGGAACAGCATCTGCCAGATGTGCTCCAGCTGTGCTCTGGCTTCTCCAGAGCTGATCTGCATCTGTGCTCTGGGTAGGGTAAAATAGAGCATTTCCATACATACTGATATCTGTACATAGCAGTCCTACGTATTTAGATCAGTCAGATGTAAGGAGGATGTTAATTAGGTATATTTAAAATACTAAAGTGTGACTTCAGCTGGCAGAAAGGCAGCGCTGTGGTCAGGGTACCAGGTATCATCCTCTGATAGCCAGGATTCCACTTCAGCTTCTCTGGCAATCCCAGCTTAGTTTCACTGGCTGTTTTTTTAACAGCCACAATTATTGCCACTGATAGAGAAGTGTTTCTTTAGTCCTAATAAAGAGGCACTACATGTGCAATCTGTGTAAATACTTTTTAAGGCCACGATTTGAACGCACTGAAAGTCTGTTAATTCTTCATGCTCATCAAAGCTGTTTGTGGGAAACCCAGATAACTGATATTTGACCTGTTAATACACTGCACATGTAGTTTACCTGAAAACATCAGACCATGATGAATCTCTCCTGCCCAAAGAAAGTGCAGTACTGTGATCTTATCTGCCCTGTTAATTTGTTTTGCATGCTTGGGTAACACTCCTCTCCCTCCCCAGTCTCCCCAGCCACAGATACCTCAAGTAACCACACTGCTCAGACAGTTTGTGTTGCATCAACCTGCACTTGGTGTTTGGAGACACCGTGTCTGTGTCACAGATGAGGCTCTCCCCTTTCTGCAGGTGTGAGGATTTGTGCTCCCCTGCCTCCCCCTGATGTTGTCCCCAAGAGCACCAGGAGAGCACCAGGCACCTGATGGCAGCTGCTGTGACTTTGGGCATTTTTGGGGAGAACATCTCCTTTTGTATGGCTCCGTGACACAAACACACAGAGTGAAATGTGAAGAGWGTGTAAAACAATAGGCCCCAGTAACTCCATGCGACACAGACGGGGAGGGGGGACCAGGTCAGCAGCATGCTGCTCTCAGGAAAATGTTTGACCATGCCAAGTTTAGCTTTAAAATGATAGGAAAATAATAGAAAATATTATTTATATATAATAGAAAATAGAAAATAATATGAATTCACTCATTAGGGCTGTACCTCCACAGCTGGATGCTCTGGTGGTTGTCAGGGGAGCTGGCTTAGTGGAGGGGATGCTCTCTGGAAGCCCAGGGACCATCAGTGTTTTCAGAGTGAATTTATATTGGTGGGAGACTGGTAAGTTCCTTCTTCAGACTTCTCCAGTTGTAGATTTTGGCAAGATCATCATCTACACCAATAACCTGAAAATCATCCGTGCACCRATGGATCAGAAAGAGCTCATGAGAAGAATGATCCAGACTGAGGGAATAAATGACTGGACATTCATGTACCGGGAGAGGAAAGAAAGATTTGGTGGTGGACATATAAAAGATGTGGAGAATGACATCACTTGCAACCAGTATGTGGAGGTAAGAGAAAATGGAAAGTGCTTTTTACCCTCAGCCCTGGTCAAACCATCCAAGCCCCATCCATGTCTGTGTCAGGCTCCTAACTCCATCTGCATAAAAACCATCCCTTTGTTCCTCATTTCTCTCAGAGGTAATGACCACACTGTGCTGAGTCCATGCTCTGGAGGCACCAGTGCTGGTTCCAAATGCTCCTGACCCCCCTGATTTCTTCCCCTGGAGATGASTGGCATTTACAGAGCTTGGCTGGGTCCATCCTTGTCACCCCTCCCGGTGGGATCAGGGAGCCTGGAATTTCTCCAGTCTGACAAAGCAAAACACAGCTGCTCTGTGGCTGAGACTGCTGCAGGCTAAAATTTTAGTATCAGCAGAAATAAGGTTGTGCCTTACGTTTGCTTTCTCATGGGGGAATCTTTGTTGGTCAGAATCCCAATTAGTCTGCCCATGATTTGATCCCACAAAAGCCAATGATGTCATGTGGTGCTGATATAGTTTCGTGGAACTGAACCTGGCCCATACTGAGCACAGGTCAATGTGGTCCTTCTGCTCCCAGGAATTTCAAGGTGGGATTTGAAAGAGGCCCCCTGGCACACTGGCAGAGAGGCAGGCACAAAGAACAGCTTGAAAGAAAGTGTGCATGGTGGTGATGAGTGATTTGGGCAGAGAAATCCCTGAAGAAATGAAGCGTGGCACAAACCTCAGGCTACAGAGTGGAAATGGTGTGGTAAGGAATGACAGGAGGATGGGTGGAGCTATGTGGAGGAGAAAGATGAATTTGGAGTATTGTGTTATTAGCCCAGTCACCTGAATTCTCATTTTCTAGCAGTAGCTACAAATTGTCCCCAAGCATATGGGAACCTTTTTGTCAAAGTCCTTGCTGTGGAGAATTGATTGTCATTGGCAGAGTGGTATGTCAGGAGCAACTGTGATGGGAAAGACCAGAAGACAGAATTTCCATCTTTCAGGAATGTTGTTGACTTTGATACCTSCCAGCCACTAACAGATGTTTTCCTGCTCTGTCAGCTTCAGGAGGACGATGCAGATCACGGCTGTTCCCAGTGCAAAGGCTCGGGCTGTGCTCCCTGCTCGCTGTGCCATGGAAGCAAGTTCTCCATGCTGGCAGACAGATTCAGGGAGTCCTACCGAGCCCTGCGGTGCCCGGCGTGCAACGAGAGCGGGCTGCAGCCCTGCCCCATCTGTGACGCGTGACCCTGCTGCCAGCACCACTGCGGGGCTTTGGGGACACCAAAATYACTGAACCTTGCAGCAGCCTCGCCACCTGACAGGCTTTAAGGATGGGAAATGCACATTATCCCTTTCTCACCGTGAGTGTGACACTGCACTTCTGCTCCCAACCCTCCTTTCAGCCTGGCCTGTGCCTGTCCTGCCTTGGCATCGGGGGGAATGCAGGGGGGATGTGTCCCTGGCACCAGTGCAGGGCAGATGCATCCCTGACCCACAGGAACATTAAGCCCCTGTGCAAATGTCTGTGCACCTGAACTCAGCTGGCAATGTCCTCTGTGCTGGCACTGTCCCTGCGCTGGCACTGTCCCTGAGCTGACACTGTCCCTGCACTGTCACTGTCCCTGTGCTGACACAGTCCCTGTGCTGGCACTCTCCCTGCGCTGGCACTGTCCCTCCCTCGGTGCCAGTCCGTGCAGGGGTGCGGTCTGTACTGGGACCAGTGTAGATCAGTACTGGAACCAGTGCAGGCTGTACCAGTGCAGGCGGTACCGGTACCAGTGCAGATCAATACCAGTACCAGTGCAGATCAATACTGGGACCAGTGCAGATCAATACTGGGACCAGTGCAGGCTGTACCAGTGCAGATCAATGCTGGGACCAGTGCAGATCAATACTGGGACCAGTGCAGGCTGTACCAGTGCAGATCAATGCTGGGACCAGTGCAGGCTGTACCAGTGCAGATCAATACCAGTTCCAGTGCAGTCTGTACCAGTACCAGTGCAGTCTATACCGGTACCAGTGCGGTCTGTACCAGTTCCAGTGCAGTCTATACTGGTACCAGTGCAGTCTGTACCAGTTCCAGTGCAGTCTATACTGGTACCAGTGCAGTCTATACTGGTACCAGTGCGGTCTGTGCTCCGTCTGTCCCAGCAGTGCCTTCCCAGGTTTATCTTGCTGACACTGACAATGGCATTGCCATTGCAGTTCTCTGGCTGTGCCCTGCAGGGTCACAAGCATTTCTTGTGATTTTGCTGATCTCACACCTTCTTCAGTGACACAGTGATTCCTTTGGGGTCTGATTTATGGAGGAAATGGAAAACCTTCCCAAACCTCGAGCTATAAAAAAGTATGAGAGTTCATTATTATAAATGGGAGACACTAAGTTTTAGCCTCCCTACAAGGAAGGGCTGAACCAAAACTCCCCTTTATGCTGCTCAGCACTTCTCAGGACCAGGCTGAGGGTGAGCAGGACAGCTCTTGCTTAATGCTAATCCCATGTTGTAATCTGCAGCAGGTAAACTCTAATTAGGGAGATGGAGCAATGATGGGGATCCTTTGGAGGCTGCCACTGGTGCACAGAGCACAGGGGCTGTGAGAGCCTGAGGCAAACAGGGGAAATGGAATTTTTTCTCTAAAGCATTAACTTCTTACATTTTGTATTCAGGAGTAATGTCAGTGCAGCCTTAACTCCCATTTTACCTCTGGGACCCTGATGAGTTAGAGGCTGCTCACTTGTGCTTCACACTGTGGCTGCAGGCCCAGGCAGGATAATTCATGGCCAAGTTTCTATTTTCCTGTGGTAGATTACAAGACTTCTTTGCAATACTGAAATTATCCAAAATAATTCTGTTTTAGCTCTCTCTTCCACATGTCTGCTGCTGAGATTGTGCTGTGGGTACTGAGGGTTTCTGTTTTTAAAAARTGCATCAATCTACAGCAGATATTTGATTGGCTTTGTTCATCATATCAGGATCTGCAATGTGAAAAAAATATTGTCCTTGGGGTATCACTGAGGGCCGGTGAGACTTCTCAAATCAGAAATTGCTGTCAGGCAGATCTCTTCCCTCAAATATGACCTGTTGATCTCAGTCTGTTGAGCTTGTTGGAGAGTTTGCTTGCTTCAGATAAGAAAAAAGCAACCAGGCAAAATTGCCTGATAATGTTTACAATAAAACTAGATGCAAATATGCACTTATAAAATCAATATTTCTTGTTYCTTGGTAATTATAATGTTTCTCAACCACTGTCACTCCTCCTGCTGTGTCAGCTATTCCCATCATGCAGATATGTCACAGAGGTGATGCCAGGAGCTGAGCTCAAGCAGAACAGGGGGATTTGCTTCCCCAGCTTCCAATGTAYTCCTTTTATTTTTACTCATATGCTGCCTGATTTACCCAATAAATGCTCTTRTTTCACATGGCAAAAGTTTGAACTTTCCTACAGCATCATGGTGCGCTGACTGTCGAGCAAAGACGACATTGGACTTGCTGAAGTCACCAGGCTTCTGCATTGCTCTCAGTGGGGTCAGCTGAAGTGTCCATCTATCAGGGAATGATGGATGAAATACAGAAATCTRAAATATGTGGTGGCATGGGTTTGGTTTCATTCATCACTTTTTTTCTGGTTTTAATGGCTCAGTAATAGAAATGGACCCCTGGAGTGGTGTTGTGCCCTGTACCACAAACCAACCTGTCCTGTATGTGAAATTCGTTTACAAAGGAAAAACCCAAATATCCTCACAACTACCAGGACTTTCAACAGTAAATACAGGCAAAGATGCTTAGTCTGGAGTCTATTTCTTTTGGTTTTGTTCACTTTTTACAGCTGATGTTTTGCCTTAGAACAGGCATGTGAAAAGAGGCATGTAAAGGTTTCCCTAAAGAAAAGGAAAAACCAAGAGCAAAAAGCAACCATTTGTTCTCTCTGCAGAACTCCAGAGCTGTCTGTGGCAGGCTCGGGCAGCCTCATTCACTCACTGGTGTTGGCTGCCACACCATGGTGAAGCGATGGATGTGCTCTGGAACGTGCCTGGGAAAACCTGGGGCAAACCTGGAAAAGAGCAGTCAGGATCGCCTCTTGCTGATTCTCAGGAGTGTTTGCAGATCAAGGKGAAAGGGGCAGAGTTAGTGCTCTTSGTTGTGAAGGGTTTGAACCAAAGCAGAAATGCAAATGGAATTGTTTCCTGTGATAACACATCCGTGTACTCGGGAGGGGCAGGTGGAGGTGAGCACTGAGGCTGACGGTGACTGCCATGCAGGGAAGGGGCAGGAAAGGTAAAAATAATCCTTATTGTAGCTGCTAGCAAAGTGTGTTGGATGGCTTTAACCCAGACACCGTGGGATTGAAGAGGTGATTCCCATATTATGAATAAATGCCTCAGTTAAAGCTGACTTGAGGGCTCCTGCCCTGTTCTCTCTGCTGTGACTCTCAGGTGGAACCTCGGAATGTTGTTGTGCTGCAAACAGGGTGGGAAGCAGTGATCAGACAAACTCCCAGAGCAGAGCAGAGCCAGAGCTGTTGGGGTTCTTCGAGGGCGTGTTTGTGCCAAAACATCTGCTGGCCCACAGAAATCCCACGCACCAAAACATCTGCTGGCCCACAGAAATCCCACGTACCAAAACATCTCCTGGCCCACAGAAATCCCACGTACCAAAACATCTCCTGGCCCACAGAAATCCCACGTGTGGCCTCAGCTGTGGCATTTTGTGTCTCAGCTGTAAATTGTGACCCACCAGGATGGAGCAGAGGCCTCTTGGACAGTGGAAAGTGCCAGTGTGGGGTTTGGGGTTTTKGGGTGGCCTTTAAATTGAGTGCAGGGATTGTTTTAAACGGAGTCCATGATCTGAAAACAGGACATTTAGTTCAATTACATTTGATCAGTAATTGAAATATGCACATCTGTATGTGAAAGGCTTTTGTATTTATCGATCTTTATCACAGTAACTAATCTGTGCAGTGGGTTTTTAATTTACATTTATTCACAACCACCAGCCTTCCAAAGCAGAAACCAAGTGGAGAAATCTGGAAAGCTTTAGCTGAATTTGCAGTATCACTGCCTTATTTCCCTGCAGTTAAAAAAGAAAGAATCAGAATATTTATGAATTTAAACATTATTATTTTTGCTTCTCTTTGAGGCTGTCGTTTTGATTCATGTGGGCTCCATTTGATCTGCATGTAAACCCAGCCCTTCATTGCTTTGAAATATTTTKATTTTATACAAAGCATTCTGTGTGAGCTGCAGTGATGTCTCCCTGCTGCAGCCCGAGTAKCCTGTGATTCCCCTCCAACAACTTCTGAGAAATGCCTCTGGGAACTGCTGCTTCTAGAAATGATCACAATTCCAGAAAAGGTATGTGGGGTCTCAATTCCCTGGATTCAGAATAACGACCAATGCGATTAATTCTGCTTGTTGTTGTTTGTAGGAAACAGTGCATGTGCAGGAAGATGAGTGGGAGCACAGGAAATTTTGGTGTAGTTTTATTCACTGGGTTTTTGCAAGTGGAGAATGGTCAGCTCTGGTTGGAGCAATGCAAGGAACAGCCCTGGAACCGCTGGGATCCCAGTGCTGGGTGCCATGGAGGGCTCCCGAGCTGAGCTGTGCTGGGTGCTCCTGCAGCTCTGCAAATGTGAATCGGGCTCAGACACCTTCAGGAAACACTCGAGACCGACAGGGGGATGGGAAAAATAATTCGGAGCTGTGAATGGCTTACAGGCAAAGTCAGCGCTGTTGTGCTTTGGGTCCCTCAGTGGGGGAGAGAGGAGGAAGGTCCCTGAAATGAGCAAATCACTCTGGAAAGGAATTTACTCCAGGAGCTCTTGAACGATTTTAGAAGGGCGCAGGCTTTGTCGGGATACCTGTCCCTGTTTGCCAGGATCTGGGATTCCGAGGGATGCTGTGCGGGGCAGCGCGGCTCTGGGTTTGAGAGCGGATCCGCCCCGGGGCCGGGGCAGCGCCAGCCCGGTGTCCC